AATATATATATATATGCATATAAATTTTATTAATAAAATAAATATTAATTATTAGTTAAAATAGATATAAACAAAGATATTTTATATATTATTTTTAAATTTATATTCTTATATATTACGTCACTAAATATATAAGTAATGACAAGTAATAAATATCAAAATTTAATAATTAATAAATATTAAATTGACTATAGAACAAAAATTTTGTATTTCTAAAAATAGAAGGACAAAATGTTTTTATTTTAAAATTAAGGGACCAAAATTATGCATCAACAAAAATAGAGAAATCAAAAGTGTAATTTAATATTTTTTTTATAAATTTTAATTTAATTTAATATATGATAAAATAAAATGCTATTAATAGAGTATTTGTGCTATATTCACAAATATGAAAAATACATTTCTAAATTTTTAATTATAATTATTTTTCTTAATTTGATAAGTAGATAATGCAGCAAGAGTCATTAATATTAACAATAATTTAAAAAATAAGCATAGGATGAATTTAATATTATTGAATAAATTAATCAATTTTTTAGTCCTAATAAATTAAGTAAACAAATTTTATTAAGAAAAGAAAAAAAGAGAAGGAAAGACTTTTTTATATATTTTTTTTATAATTTATTTCAATGAAACCAAAATTTGACGTGTGCGAAACAAAAGCTTAAATTTAAATATAGAAAAAGCAGTTTTTTGATAACCATGAAACTGCGTTTAAAATAAAATAAATGAGGCGTGGATGGTCCATAATAAATATAGCACAGTTTATGATGTTACAGTTGGTTTAACGTTGTCCCTGTTCACACGTGACTCACTCAAACCCATGGACCATTATGCCCATTGTCGACATTGACTTGCAAAGCGTCTACTTATGACGCGCCTAAAAGGAGCGTGAAGCTAACAACCACTGAGAGTGTGCCGCAAATGGTAAAACGAACAATGCCCGCTTAACCCGTAGCCTCAACCTACCCTGCCCCAAATAAAGTTAACCATGATTCACTCAACTTAACCATGGTTTAATTATAACGACTTCACTCCCACTGTTTTAGCCGCAACATATCCAACTACTACACTCCCCCGTCAACTCGCTACTCTTTCTTTCATTTTTTTTTATTTTTATTTTTATTTTTTAACTATAAAACAACAATTAATCTTAACTATGCTTTATTTTTTACGTTCAAACAATTAATGTTATCTTAAATTTTAAATAAATCATCACAACTTTGATGAGTAATCTACCATAACATATTATATGTTAAATGCTTGAAAATAGTTTGCCAGCTTCAGAAGAAACAGGTTTTATAGATCCAAGGAAAAAGAAATGCTTGTTTTTCTCTTTTTTCGAGAACAAATAGAAGGGAAAAAAAAAAGAAAAAAGAAAAAGAGAAATGAAAAAGGTAACAGGTAGGGTGTCCCACGTTATTATTACTATGACCACTAGCAGTGTGTTTAAAGAAAGGGTTGTGTGTTGTTTGGACACTTGCATTGCATGAGCTGAAACTCGAAAAGAAAAGAAAAGGCTCCTCTGCTCTGCGTTGCTCTGTAAGACTGTGGGTCTATGCCTCTTCCTTTTTATTCGCGCATTCGTGTCGGTCATACAATTCATCATCTCATCATTTCCAATAATCAACGTTAAAGCTTCAATTCTATTTTCAAACATTGTAACTTTCGGGTTCAATCGCTGCTGGCTCTTCGGGTTTCAGGATTTTGAACTATAATTCTGGAGGTAGGAGGAGATATTGTTGCAGATATTATCGTGTAATCAGTTAGGGATTTTTTTTATTTATTTTATATATTTTTTCTTTTATGTTTTCTTGTTTTATCATCTTTCTCTCTTATCCTGTGGCGCAGACAGGACAGCGACTGAGTCTGAATTCTGAAACTGTTGTTGTTGTTGTTGTGGCCTCCAACTGTGTTTTCTGAAACATGTTGTGATTTTCGTAATGATTCAGTTACAACCTTTTTCACTGTCTCCCCAACACTCCCTTCTTCCTTCACTCTCCACTTATCTTCTTAGCTTCAGTTCAAATTCAAACCGTGGCGTATTTCACTTGCAGGCTCCTCTGAGATTCTTCAATTTTGCAAACAAACCCCTGAGAGAAGCTTCTCAAGTCAGAATTGCTCTGTCACCGAAATTCTGAAATTGCAATCACTTTTTCGTGATATATGCTATTTCAGGTAAGAAATTCAGAAAATGCAATTTATTGGTAAATGATAATTAAACGGTGATGGAATTTAATTTTTATTAAAAAGTAGTTAAATTGATGTAGCTGCAGGAATTGGCACGGGGAAAAGGTAATTAACTACATGCTGGAGTCAAAGGAGAAACTGAAAGAGGTGGACATGTGTTTGGATCATGAGCTATGGCACGCGTGTGCGGGAGGGATGGTGCAAATGCCAGTGGTGAATGCTAAGGTGTTCTATTTCCCTCAGGGGCATGCCGAACATGCATGTGGACCCGTGGACTTCAGGGCTTACCCCAAAATTCCACCTTTCATTCAATGCCGAGTGGGAGCTATCAAATACATGGCTGATCCTGAGACAGATGAGGTGTATGCCAAAATGAGGCTTGTTCCTTTGAGCAGCAAGGAGGTTGATTTTGATGATGATGGTGGTGTTGGAGGAGGAATCAATGGATCTCAAACCAAGGATAGGGATAAACCTCCTTCTTTTGCCAAAACCTTGACTCAATCTGATGCCAACAATGGTGGGGGATTTTCCGTTCCAAGATATTGTGCTGAGACAATTTTCCCTCGATTGGACTATTCTGCGGAGCCTCCTTATCAGAACATTTTTGCCAGGGATGTTCATGGAGAAACGTGGAAATTCAGGCACATTTATCGAGGCACGCCAAGGCGGCATTTGTTGACCACAGGGTGGAGTACTTTTGTGAATCAGAAGAAGCTTGTGGCAGGGGATTCAATTGTCTTTTTGAGGGCTGAAAATGGTGATCTGTGTGTGGGAATTAGAAGAGCCAAGAGGGGGATTGGTGGAGGATTTGAGACTCCATCAGTGTGGAATTCAGCTAGGGGGATTCGTCCTATGCCTTTTGGAGGGTTTTCTGCTTTTTTGAGAGAGGAAGATAACCAACTCATGAGAAATGGTAATAGTAATGGAAATGGGTTGAGTTTGAGTCCAGGGGCAAAGGGGAAAGTGAGGCCTGAAGCAGTTATTGAGGCTGCTACTCTTGCTGCCAATTTGCAAGATTTTGAGGTTGTTTACTACCCTCGGGCAAGTACTCCTGAGTTTTGTGTGAAGGCGTCTTTGGTTAGAGCGGCATTTCAGATTAGGTGGTGTCCTGGAATGAGGTTTAAAATGCCCTTTGAAACGGAGGACTCCTCGCGGATAAGTTGGTTTTTGGGAACCATATCTTCTGTTAACTTTGCTGATCCAAGATGGCCAGACTCTCCTTGGAGACTTCTCCAGGTGTATATATAAACTTCTAATTCAATTTAATATCATAATTAATTATGTAGTATTGATAAATGGTGTGCTTTTAATCTAGTGGTCCCAAGAGTTTTTTTCCTGCACAACTTGTATTATTGGTATTTCTGTCGAAGTGTCAATTTGTTTAGACTTATCATCAATAATGTGCATTAAGGGAATTTGGTAGAAATCTTACACCTGAATATCATTCATTTTGCATCATTCAAGACTTTCTCATGTTTCACTTCGGATGCATTAGCGAGTTGATGTGAAAATCTGTTTGCACTAAATAAAATAAGTAATGGAAAGAGGAAACAATGGAACATTGCTGTTGCAGATAAATTTGCTACTGGAGAATTATATTATTAACGAACTTCATGGTGTTAGTTTGTACATTACTTAACAATGAGCAACATCTCATTTCGAATGGCAATTTGCGTGTTATCACATTTAGAACTCTAAATAATCTTGCTAAGTCATGTTTTTAGGTTACATGGGATGAGCCAGAGTTGCTTCAAAATGTGAAAAGGGTGAGCCCGTGGCTGGTTGAAATAGTATCAAACATGCCTGCCATCCATCTTTCCCCTTTCTCACCACCAAGGAAGAAGCTGAGATTGCCTCAACACCCAGAGTTTGCCTTTGAAGGCCAGATTCCATTTCCAACATTTCCCAGCAACTTTCTAGGTCCCACCAATCCCTTTGGTTATCCACCTGAAAGTACTACTCCTGCTGGCATGCAGGGAGCCAGGCATGATAACTATGGTATATCCTTACCAAATTTCCACCTCAATAATAAACTGCACTCAGGTCTATTTCAATCTGGTTTCCCACCACTTGATCACGCTGCTTCACCAACATTGAGGGTCTCCAACACCCCACCATTGCAAAAGGCCAACACAAGTGACAACGTCTCTTGCCTATTATCTATGTCAACTTCTTCTCAATCTTCAAAGAAAGTAAATGATGTGAAGGCACCCCACTTGGTTCTTTTTGGCCAAACAATTCTCACTGAGCAGCAAATCTCTCTGAGCACCTCTGCTGACACAGTTTCCCCAGGAAAAAGCTCGCCTGATGGAAATGTTGATAAAATGACCAATTTTTCAGATGGTTCCGGTTTTGATCTTCACAAACAACGCTCCTCTTGTGAGGTGTTCCATTGGTACAAGGATCACCACCACAAAGAAACCGTAGCTAGTTTGGAGACAGGTCACTGTAAAGTTTTTATGGAATCAGAAGATGTTGGTCGGACTATGGACCTCTCATTGCTTGGGTCTTATGATGAATTGTATAGAAAAATGGCTGATATGTTTGGCATAGAAAAATCTGTGGTGCTAAGTCATGTGCTTTACTGTGATATAACTGGGGCAGTCAAGCATATTGGAGATGAGGCATTCAGGTAAAATCAATGTCACTATCCTTTTGTATTGGAAATACAAGTCCATCTTAGATCTTGACATGTTAATTATCTCTTTGATGTTCTTGTAGTGACTTCACCAAATCCGCTAGGAGGTTGACAATTATAATGGATTCCAGCAGAGACAATAGAGGAATATAGAGAAAGAAGTAAACCATCATGATTTCAATTGTACAGTTCGTTGATCAATTCCTCCTATTGCCATTCAGACCCTTTACCCTTCCTGAAGCAATGGAAGGAGACAGTCTGATCTAATTTTTGGATATTAACTTTAAGCTCTCTGGATAAATGTTTCTCTTGAAGGGCATGTTTGGATTTGATTTTTTCTTCTAGTGACTATATCTCGTGCTTTTCCTTCTCTTTTTGAATTATAACATGGTTTACCTGAGGCTTTTGTTTAATAAATACGATTGCTTTATAGGAGGCTTTTGTGTACTTAAACTCTTCGACAATGGCTTTGTAGTAAAAAAAAAGGTACCTAGGCTTAATGGTTATTGAGAGAAATTAGGTGTAACGTGTAAGCGACTTGTAGGCAGCAGTTTGTAGTTAGTAATTACCTTTTTTTTCTTCTGCGTTTGTACCTTTGTTTTCTTGTGGCTTTCGTATACAGATCAGTTAGATCATACGCATTGACTGACCATTTATTTGCAATCACTATTTATTTGAATAAATGGAAATTCTAAGGCTCATATTTTATTTGGAGTCACTTATGAAATTGGCTCATGTCCCAAAAAAATTCAATGGGATTTCCGTTTCTATTTTGGTGGGCAAGAAATAGGTTGGTAGTTGCATCATTCTTTGGATGGACTCGGACTTGAAATTCACTTCCAAATGTAATGTGACATTAGCAAGGGGACATTAACAATGAGCCAACAGAAACAAGTGTGAACTAGTAGCAGAGACATGTTATGTTTTTCTAGAAGTAGTTGGACGCAAATTTTGGTCGTAAATTAAAAAGACAAGAAGATTAATATTGTTGAAAGTCTAATCAGCAGATAGAAACATGGGTAGAGTTGACATGATCAGCAGTATAGTCATATCATATCAGATGTTTCACACACGGCAACAGATTTCACAGATGGCGAACCAGAACTGCGAGCAAGTGATAAGGTGCCACATGTAAGATAATCACAAGTATCATAGTGGAAGAAATAATATATAATAATATTCAAACTTATTATGGCTTCCAGACATCAACTTCCTCCCTCTAATCGAAACCAGAATTCAACCAAAAGCAGTTGCCATCATGATACCGTCAACTGTGGGGGAAACTAAACAGTTTGGTTAATGAAATTAATTAATGATGATGGAGTTATCGGGATTGCGAAACACAGTTGTCAAACACAAAGTCAATAATGGGTTAGATTGGGAGTGTGACCCTCATAATATGTTACTGTTGTCTGTTGTTAGTACCAAAAACAAAGCAACAAACACAGTACAACACAGTAACAAGTGGGAGATGGTAAAAAGGAGAACATGTTCCGTTTTGACTCGTCTGCCAACGCAAAGTGTTAACACGTAAATGTGAATCTTATATATTTCAAGTAAATATTTTAAGACTTAATCACCTATATACTATCGGTATAAAAAAATTTTATATTAATAATTAATTATATCTATTAATTGTGTCATGTTATTATAAAAATATTTACTTTTAAAGTGACATGGTACAATTAAAAAATATAATTGGTTGCTAGTATAAATTTTTTTTACATTAACAATGTATAGGTGATTAACTCATAATTTAATGTGTGTATATATATATATATATATATATTATACACTATCAAAAATAATGATTAATTTTTTTAAAAAAAGTGAATATACATAAGATAAATATTTTTTTTTCAAAGTCTATTATGTATTTAATGCTAGAACTTAATTTTATAATTTTATAAAAAATATTCAGTATATTTATTAAAATATCATTGAACACAGATAATATTCTTATTTATTGTTGTAGAAAGTCTTTAGATTATATTTATTGTTGTAGAAAGTCTTTAGATTATTGAATACATTTAAACTAGTTAAAATTTACTTATATTTAAAAAAATTAAGAATTTTTTTCTTACACATATATTTAAAGAGTTCTGTGTTAAGAGGATTAACAGGAGAGTTAATGAGAGAATACCTAGTCTTTCTATTAGCTTTTACGTAGTTAATAAATTAGTGTTGAGTTTCCACCAAAATCCTATACCTATACCCCGATTTAAATTAAAAAGAAAAAAACAAATGATAAAAACAATAATATAAAAGAACATTGAATGATGAAAGTAGGAAGTGAGAGCACAGAGGTGACAATAACGGTTTCCAAAGCTGTCTTCAATTTGAATTGTTCCGTTTTGAATTGACCTCAAATGAAAATTACTATGCTTTGAGGACGCAGTTTCCAACAAATATGGCATGCTTTCTATGTAGAATGCATGGCCCTCTAATATCTTGCCTAGTTAAATTCAAACCTATATATGCATGGCTGACATCACGAAAATGTCAGCTTCCAAACACACATTTTTTTACTTGTTTGGACTTTGGGGTGTTCTATAATGTATACCAAGGATTCTGGTTGAAAAAGCTTCAAATTATAATTATGTAAAATTGTCTTTTATGGTTTTTGTTGAAAATATTAATCATAGCGAGATTTGTACCCTTATAGCAGTGAAGGCAAGTTGGTTTTAAAGGTTGACCTTTATAGCAGTGAAATCCAAAAAAGTTAAGACATAAGAATCGTTTTTATATTAAAAAAAAGAAAAAGTAAAGACTACTTTTTAAAATAATAAAAATATAAAATTTATTGTGCAAGAGTAATTTATATAAGATGAATTAAGAATTCAAAGTTAAATATTTTTATTAGAATAAAAATAAAAAGATTTCTAAAATCTTATGCAACACAAAAAATCCAAAAACGATGAATTAAAAATCTAAAATAGTTTCTGAATATGGTATCATGAAGTCCGTGTTTATTTATTTATTATTTAAAAGGAAAATGTGATCCAAAAGGACAGAGATTCGGTACAGTTACAGTTACAGGCACAGCCTCGTGCGGTGGCCCCCACACGCTCTATAACCTATAACCGCCTCCCATTACCACGACTTCTCTATTATTCCTCGTTAAAATAAATATTTACCATGCTTTTGTTTTTTTCGCATTATGTGACTATTTCTCAAGATAAGTAAACAAATTTTATTTTTTAAATTATATATATCCACTGAACGTACAAAAATTGTAAGATTTGATTACTGTAAAAAAAATAAAAATTGTAAATACGGATATTAAATTATACTTCAATGATCGTTAATAAAAAAAATTATATATAAGCCCCTAAGTATCTTATAATATTAGGTTGTTGACTATCAATATGAGATTGCATGACTCAGATTTATAATTTTATTTTTTTACAATTACTAACAATGTGTTTGGAACAATGAAAAGATGAAGGAATCACAAACAAAGAATGAAAAGGAATTGGCTTAATTGTGTTTTTATCTTCAAGTGTTGTAATTGTGCAATTTTGATCGTCAAGATTTTAATGAAATACTTTTAATCTTTAAAAAATTGTAATTGTGTAATTTTAGTCCCTTAATTTTTAATTGAACATTTTTAGTTCCCAACTATTATAATTGTGCGATTTTAGTCTTTTTTATTAAAAATTTAGTAATTTTAGAATTTATATATATATATAACTTAAATAAGTAAATAATTATATAATTTTAAAATATTATATATATATATATATTTATTAATAAATAAATAAATTTTATATATTATTAGTATTTTAATATTATTGATAAATTAATATCAATAATATTTTTAGTATATTTATAGATAAACTAATA